CAGACGGATGCTCTTACCACAGAGTAGATTTCACAAGCTGTTTCTCTCTCACTCTGATGAGGATCACAGTACAAACGCAGCTTCTGGATCTCCACCTGAATCAAAAGAATGTAAAAAAAATTCCATTACTGACTGTCAACAGACATCTCACTGGTATACATATAGATGTCATGTAGCTGGTATTTGGTGTAATATCTCTTTTATTTTTAGTCATAAACATCAATAATGAAGTGCATATATTCTCATAATTTTTATGAAGTCTGAACTTTAACATCATGCATTAAATCAATAGCCGTCTGGTACCTTAGTGATTATAACAGACACTAACACCGGATTCATGAGAAATGTGATACAGACATAATTATTTAGACAGTAGGACATCAGTTTATTCTTCATCCCGGTTCAGGACATAAATAAAGCAATGTATACTACATCAAAGTTGTACTATCCTTCTATTCAATTCACAGCAACTCTAGCATCAGTTTAACTTTGTTTAGTTTTTATATATTTAATCAAGACAATAACTTTTCCCCAACCTCAACCTTGCTGCACACATGCACAAAACCATCATGCTGTAGTTGTTACACACGGATGTATTATTAGGCTACAAAAGAATATTTTACAGAAAACTTTAGAATTACCATTGTGCAAATTGCTATTAAAGTCTTGATTGTACTTCCGACAACTCAGACGTGTTCTTGCCATTAGGCCAGAGGGTTCTGTGAAGGTTCGACATCTGTGTTCAGCCCTAAGTTTGTGTCTGCACAGTCAATCAGCTCAATGACAAGGCCAATAACACGCATGCTCAACAGTAGCAGAACACATAGTTATGACTTACTAAACATACATGGAATGGAGTCTCCAAGTGGACTCCAGCACACTAGAAAAGTAGTGTAAAACCAACAGCTGCTCATCTGTAGTGTCTGTAGGTGTCTGTACATTTTAACCCTCTATTCTATTTTCTACCTTATGACAGTCCACTCTTGAAGACTTCATCCATACATGTACGTTAGGTTGTATCTATCTAGTCCGGTCATGCACACTGTTGCCCTTGTACTGTCGTCTACAAATTATGGGTGCACAAAATCTGGACACAGAAAGTAAAACACTGGCATAATGATAAGAGTCTGCAGTGGCGCTTTTGGATGCGAGGGGTCATGCCACTTGCCAACACTGGACGCTTAATAGGCGTGGGACAAGGCAGTGATGACAGATGATTGACAGGTGTTTTCCAACAGGAAACCATAAGAGGCGACACCCTCATACACTTGCGTAAACAGTGGCTACACCTGATTGGAAGAATGCTTTACTCATGGGCTGGCGGCTTCTGGATTTCAAACCACGCCAATATGGCGGCTTGTTCAGAAGCCTACATATGTATGTGTGTGTGTGTGTGTGTGTGTGTGTGTGTGTGTGTGTGTGTGTTTATAATACAAATACATTGCGTCAAAATGTGTTTCTAAAACCATTAGAGGCAAGACATAAGCCATGCTGCTGCTAGATCTGTTTTTATTTATTTTATTTTCAACAACAGTTAGCTTAATAGTTTTCTGGGAATTTCCAGAGGTATCACGTGGTTGCTGGGCGCCACTGTTTCACATTAAGTAGCCAACCCTCAGTCTCCTACCAGAAAGCACTGCATGGCTGCTTACATAGACAATCAATGGGAAGCACAGAAATGACAGATCCTGTGAACACGTACAATAAGTCCTCTTCTTCATTCTCTTATTATATGTAAATTTCACTCTTTCAGTTTTTTCATGGACTGAACCAAATATCAACAACCAATACCAAAACTGTAGTGGACTGAGAATCAGTAATGTTTCTCCACTACCAGGTCTTTACTGGGCAAATGATCAATGTGTCCAAGACATTCAGTATAAAACAATGTAATAATATTGAACATCTCCTAAATCTAAACTATTAATATTCTTTAAATCTGCTCAAAACAACTCATGTTCTTTCAAGCAAGTGATGACCTGCAATGGACTTCTTAGTTGCAGCATTATTTAGACGTGATTGGATACTCACAGGTACAGTGACGCTCGTTCCTCGCCTCTTAGACACCTGTGTCTCCCCATTGATGTAAATGGGCTCCACTGGGTCCAACATGACCTCCTGGATCTGCTGATCGTCAAGGAAACCAGTGACGTGACGTGGCCTCACCAGGAGTTTAAGCTGATGCCATTTTCCATCATACAGACTCTGAGGGAGAGAGTATATATTTCATGAACACCTTCCTTTTTTCAAGATTATCTCAAATATAAAGATGCATTTGCTGAGAGACTGAAGCACATCTTTGTCCAGGCTTCCATTCATGAGCAAAGTTGGATGTGAAAACAATTATTAACTTGTCAAATCCTCTTTCACTCAGCCTTCCATTTCTGTTGGCAGACCTCATGTGTATGTGTGTGTATGTGTGGTTCATTTAATCTAATTTTGTCAGTAAGGCCAAAAATGTGTTCCCTAAATACTACGCAAATAGTTACGAACAGCAAAGTATTACAACCAAGAACTCCTTCCTTTTTCCATCACAAACTTTTTCAAGCCGTAGAGTGGGAGAGAGGAACAGAGCAGCTATTGTTTCATTGGGACTGAGCCACAGCCGTCATCTCCAAATGACAAATCACAGGCCTCTACCTCGTGCCACATCAAACCAAATCAAATCAAACATGTGCAAACACAAATTCAACATAATTACAACCTTGTTCAGCACTCCTCGCTAAAGTCTAGGTGTGTGCTAGGATGGAGGATGGTGGATGCCCGTTGGAAAAAACAACCTGGCGAGCCCAACAGGATCATTACCTTGTGCTACCATGGAAACAGGGACATGCGTTCCAAGTACTACACATCCACCAACTAGTTTCCACTGAGGAAAGTCAGTGGTTTAGAGCAGGAAACATTTTCTTTGAGCCTCCTCCTGGCCTCCATCACATTACATCTCCTCTGTTTCAGCAGCGTATTGAAGCGAACAGTGGATGATATTTAAATAACTGCTAGGTTGGCCCTCTGCAAGTCATCCCAGTCAAGCTCATTCATAGCAACTAACATGAAGGGAAACCCAAGATTGGATGAGACGCTGCAATAACACAATGTGTTCTTTCACAGTAGCACAGCACACTATGCCATGTATATTCATCAGTATAATCTGTTGTGATTTTTGCGTTTTTCTCTTTTTTTTTCTACATTACGAATCACGAATTACGAGGTTTAAGCAGCTGCATTAACTGAGCTTTTTAAAGGAGCATCAAGTGATTTTTGACCACTAGAGGGCAGAGCAGAGAGATTCTCACAACAAGCTTTGACTCTGCTTAAGTTGAAACAGCATATTGTGAGCAGGTGAGCAGTCGAGGAGATGGTTAAGACAGAGGCAGAGGCCTATTAGCATATTCATAAATCTGTGCATACTAAATGTAGTAAAGGTGTCGAGTTACTTCTAGGCCATATTTAGTCATAAAGAGATTATTTTAATGAAATAAAAATGAAAGTCATTTTGATTAACATAAATTCATTTTTTAAAGTTTAATCAATGCCAAGAAGGGAAAATTAATATAATTTTTTCAACATTAGGAGGTCTTGGTTTGATTTTACACCTCTTAGCTCATCTGAAATTTCATGGTAAGGTCAACCAACCTGAATAATTTGTGATGAATAGTCGAGCTCACGCAGTCTTTGTAGCTTTATCCACAGGCAAAAGTGCAGTAACGTCTCTTGACAGGAATTTTTACACTTGGTCGTATTCAAAAAAGGGGCTTTGAAGTCAAAGCCAAGCCAAAAGGCAAGTAGCAGAGTGAGAAATGTTTCCCATATTGATCTGTTATGGACACTCAATCCTCACCAACCTGAAAGCCTGCTTTAAAGGTGACTCTCTGTTCCTTTTCTGTCATGCTGGTCGTAGTGAAGGTGACAGCTTTGTCTTTTCCACTCAGTGTTACTGCAGCCTGGATCTCCTTATCCTTTGACAGCACCCGCCAAAGGTCAAACGGCAGCTTGCTCGAAGTCCCTTTTAGACGCACAGTGGCTACAAACACATAGGATGGAGGGAGGCCTTCTGGGAAAATCTCTCTAGAAGACAGATGAAGTAAAACAATTATATATCTATGTACTTTTAATAACGCAAAACCAAGACAGAATCAAACACACTGATTTGGAATGTATGATACCTGGTATTCTCAGTAATGTCAGTGGAGGCAGTGAGGGTGTAGGCTGTTTCTGAAACCAGAGAGCCAGGGATCTTCTTGGCCTTCTTCTGAATGTTCATGCCCACCATCAGCTCAAAGCCTTTCTCATCACGAGACGCCACTGGGATTCGTGTGGGACATACAGACTCTAGAAAGAAAAAACTAATTTATTCAGACAGCTAACCTCCAACTCAACAGAAACTAACAGTCGTGCAGTTTCTGAGTATGCTGTGTTATTTGGTGGTACATTGATCTGTATTCTTACAGATAACAAAGGGCATCTATTTTTGGATAAAAACTAAGCAAAATTAAGTCTGCAATAGTGCAACAGGAAACTCTTTGAGGAGTATCCAACCCAGGCCTTAAATACAGTCGTTTTAATTGTCCTAACATAGAAATATCCCATTACAGGTTGTTAGATCATTTAAAAGACTATTCTCTAAAAAAAACAGCTCTCTTTGTGTATCTCTTTATTTGTTTATTTATGTGTGTGTGTGTATGTGGCAGAGGATATTACATTTTCAGTCGTAGGAGCTTGAAATTCATATTTTGAATTGCTAAAAAAAAAGTGCTAAAAAAAAATAAATAAAAAGACTAACATGATATATAATTTTAAAAACTCATGTCAATGCCAGTGTCTAAGGTAACATTGGCAAAATACCAGCTGTCAACAGTTCTACCAACACACCTTACAGCGTAATAAGAAGAAAAAAAAAAATCAAGTCCTTAGCTTGATTTTCTGACCTTCACATAGCTTCTGTTCCATGGAGTCTCTGATACGGTCGATGGTGGTGTAATCTTCAGCGTATAGGACATAGGTGGATGATGGTTTATTGGCGATAGATACCAGCTCCGAGGTGGTGATCTCACTGCCAACTCCCACAGCAAATACTGTAACACCCTGAGCTCGAGCCTCCATGCTGGCATCCACCTACAGAAAAAAAAATAGGGTTTCTGTGGTGAAAGTGATCCTTCGTCAGAGAGTATGAACCAGCAACTTTCATATTAATGCCATAGTGTGGAAGCTCCACTGGGATTTCGGGCCAATCAAAAAAAAAAACTTGACTTGGTTTAACTCAACGGCACAGTGACATTTACCACATCATCCTGAGACTTGCCATCAGTGACCACCACAGCGATGCGGTTCTTGACCAGGTTGGCTCGCTGAGAAGAGGAGAACACGTGGTTCACAGCAAACTTGATGGCCCGGCCCGTCTGCACAAACAAGTCAGAAAATTACTGACACACTGGTGGGGCCAATTAAAAAAAAGCATGACGTTGTGAGGGAACATGTGCGTGTGAACTGGACTGTTCACTAGATTGAAGCCAACAGCAGCTGCAGCACAAAGTGCAAATTAAATGATATAAACCTGTAAAAAAAAAAAAAAAAAAGCTCTTTTTGAAACGGGAAGCCTTAGTATTACACCATCTAAATGTAACAGGATACAGCTGTAGAATACAGAATTCAAAGGGACAGATTTGTAGTTCTGTTTCTCAAAGTTTGCGTGCCTGTGTTTGTTGAACATTTTTCTGCTTGTGGTGTTGCCGTGTGGTCATGCTGCTGCAGATGCACCTGTGTTGAGTGAATGTTGGCACCCGTGGATATAACCAGCCGCAGCCTGTTCCACTTTATTAGTTTCTTGTTTTTGTAAGAAGAACTAGAAGCAGTGAAGATTGCATACAACATTTTATAGTATATTTTAGGCTTTACTCGTCCACCCTGCTGCACGCAGGTGTCCAACTCAACCAGTAGGAGTCAGTAGTGAAGCATCAGGTCATAAACCTTCACTAGTTTAACACCTATAAACACTGTGTCTGAATGGATTCATTATTCTGTACTGATCTTTTTATGCTGTGTGTTACTTTTTATCCTTTACAATAATCACTCCTAAAGAGGTCAAGATTAGATCCAGCCCTCCCCTCACCCTTCTACCATTACACCCCTGCAGCAGGGCTCATGTGCTGCACAGTTTTTAATGGTTTCTTCTCACATTTTATTTCAAATAAATGAGAAGGGAAACTGAAAATGTATTCAACACCCTTGGAACAAGTTTAGCACTTTATTTTTCTTCCCATCCTGATTGATTTGTTCATTTAGGTGATTGATGTCATGGGAGGAGAAGACATGTGTTCAAGGTTCAGTCAAATGAAGCAGCACAAATAGCGTTGTCGCTGTTCTGGATACTTAATCTCTTTCTCTTTCTTTCTGGTAGAAACTCATTCTAATTTGGTGATTTTGCAAATGAAATAAAATGGAATACGTTATGCCTAAAATCTAAAATCTAATATATGTGTACGGTGTGCATGTTCAGTGTCAACCTGCATCAAGATATCAGCATGTATGACGGAATATATTTTCAGGGTCCTAACTGTAATGCAAAGGAAAAGCATGCAGTCTTGCCTGTGTGTTTCCTCCCAGGTAGGTGATGCTCTGTATGGCCTGGATGAGCTCTGCTCCGCCCTGATGTTTCCCCAGAGGAATCTCCAGTCGAGGTGTGTCACTATACTGGATCACAGCCACCTACAGCAGACACAGACAATACTAATGAAGGTGGAATACAGGTTAGCTGATGCTCTTTAGCTCATATAACAGGCCAACAAATCTGTAGGAACATGATGTTTCATAAAAGCTAGCAACTGACACATATACAAAGTGTCATTCAGATAGGGTTTAAAAAATGCTGCTAAATATGAAAGGAGAAATACGATGTCAGTGGTTTGAGGGAAGCTCAGCACAGCATAAAGTGGATCACATTACCTGTGTGTAGTGGGAACTGATGTCAAACTGACTGGTGATGTTGATAAGCCACTGCTTGGCCGTGTCAAAGTCAGAGAAGCCAACACTCCATGAGCCATCAACAATATACACCAGGTCATTCACGGCTGTGCTGCAGCCTGTGTACACACATGGACACACACACACACACACACATAAATATATGCAAACAGTTATCAAAGAGAACACTTTAAAATACAGATGAATACAAAGTAAATTTTCAGAAATTTTAGACTCAAGAGGTCAGTTCACAATCGTTTTATATTATGCTACGCTGGTATCCACTTTAATGGGCTCTCTCAGGTGTGCCGGTGTAACACCTACCTGCTCGGACATCGTCCTCTTCTGCAGCCTCCAGCGCAGTCAGTAGCAACGTTACACTCCATACTGACCACAGCAACATGGCTCAGTAGAAGAGTCCACCTCTGTCCAGTCCAACCTTCCTAAATCATGGGTGAAAACTTATTCAGCCAGTTGTTCATCAAACTATTTAGTCCAGGAAAACATAATTTGACACTCACTGGACAGATTAACACATAAATTAAGCATACATCAATGAGTCAAAACTACTCCTGCCTAATTCACATGCCAGCAAAACATCTCCCACCTGCTGGGGCTTGAATTCTACACAACACCTCTAGTTCAGGTACTAAGACATTTGCAGCAGATCTTTTAGGTCCTGAAGGTTGCAAATTGGAGCCACTGAGGATCAGAATTGTGCCAGAACATGCCAACACCGTGGTGCTCACCACTAGCCCCACAAGGCTTTACCATTACAGAGATGCTCCAACCCAGTCATCTGGCCATAATTTCAGATCTTGACGTCTGTGCATTTCATCCCCACTTCAACAAAAACTGACTGTTCTCTAATCATCTCATATATCCCAGACCTTGACATCCACTACTGTTACAAAAAATAAAAAATAAAAATCACCAGTCATCATTTTCTCCAGGTATTTTACCATCAGGATAAAGATTCCCATTTTGTTACAGACACACACAGTATCTGTGACTCTCAGGCGATAATTTTTTGTGTCTGTACGAGTAGCACCATAATGAAAATATCAACTGGAAAGTATCGAACTGAAATAAAACAATCTAATTGGCATTTTTCCATGACATTTATTTGGTGCATGTACATTCATGCTTTTCCCTGTGATCAACCTTTTCAACTTCAGAGACTCTTGTGCCAAAATTACTAAAATGCATAGCATATACATTTCCTGTGAAGCTGATTGAGCACCTTCATGTCCCCAAAGGGCTGACATCTTCAGATTATTGTGTACCTTGACTCCACCCTTGTGAAAAAGGAAACATCTTCCATCCTCATCGCTATTAAGGCTTTGCAAACAGCAAAAGTACTTTATTTGTTCCAACACGTCTCAGAGTAATAACAATGTCCTCACGGAGCCACCAGGAAGGCTTCATACGTAAGTTGGGTAACCTTTACACTCCTTTTGATCTACTTGTCTAACAGTCGAATAGCTTTGGAAACGTCCTCCCCCACACCTTTTCAGGGTGGGGCAGTGTCCAACAATTCCTGTAAATTTCCAAAAAACTGGCTTTCCAACATTCACACCCACTCCATGCAGTGAGTGGCCAGTTCTGCACTGGTAGGAGTCGAGGATTGATCTCTTTTTCTGTTGTCACTCAGCAGTTTGCAGCACTTTTCATGAGTGCAACACTATGAATGTCTTCCTGGAGAGACCGTATGGAAATGCAAGCTCTTACCCATTTCTAGGTGATCACATACATCTTTCCTCTCTCTATGGTGACTGTTTTTGTTGTTTTTTCACTCTGCCTCCCAGGCTGTTCAGAATGGCTATGTACATTTGTTTTCTGATGTGGTGGACTTGTTACGAACTTGTTCTGTTGGAGATTTAACTGAGAAAAAGGTCTGAGTTCATAAGACACACAAATTGATCACATGCACTTGTTGCCACAAAAATAATTATTAGGTCTATGGATGGATGTTTCTTTCAGTATGTTTTTGATTGACTGAGAGAAGACAATGAGAGAAGTGTGGGAACAAGAATAACCACAAGAGAAAAAGATGAGCCATTGTCAGAGCCAACAACAGAAATGTGTATTTGCTCTTTGATTCATTACAGTTACATAGTGAAGCAGAAATAAATGCCCATAAATCCGTGAACCTGTCATTACTACTTTGGACCTCCTCAGTTCTGCTTTGCAACATTCATTCAAACGACCAACACCAACACAATGACCAACACAATGACTTTAACCCTCTCCCTCTGTGGTTGTTTCTCTCTATGTGGGAATCACTTTCAAACTTTGCTGGGGTTTTGTTGCTCTGTCATTAATTCATCTGTTTCACATGTCTTCAGATGCCGTAGAACCACAAACAGGAAAAGGGACGTTCTCTGCCTCTTCAGTTCCTGGAACTATATTGTCTAAAAGTGCCTGTAAAGAGTAAATTGGCACTTTTTCTTACTCTGCTTTAAAATGTGTTTTACTCACTTGCACCAGCCTTGAAACAAATGCTGAACCTGCATCAATGACATCAGTAAAGTGCAGTTAATACAGCACATTGCTGAAAGACAAGAACTAGAATAGCTGGAGATGAGCCTAAACAAAATTTTCAGCCGCTTTAAAATTAGTCTTCAAAATTTATAACAAAAAAATACCATTTCCTTGTTCACGCCTTTCTTGTGTGTGTTTAAAACTATATCATGTCCACACAATTAAACAATTAGACATACAGCTCATTCATTACACAATTATCAGCTGCAACCTAGTATTACAGAGATCGCCACTTATCCCACCAAAAACAGCTCTGACATGGAGGTCTGGACTCCACAGACCTCTGGAGGTGTCCTGTCATATCAGACACCAAGACATTAGCAACAGATTCTCTAAGTCCTGGAAGTTACAAGGTGGCATCTGACTTCATGGATCCCATGCGCCAGTCTTCGCTCCCCACACACATCAGTGGGCCTTGAGTGCCCATGATCCTCTCACCAGTTCACTGCTTGTCCTTCCTTGGACCACTTTCGGTACGTCCTAACCACTGTATACTGAAAACATGCACATGACCTGCTGTTTTGGAGATGCTCTGACTCAGTCATCAAGTCATCACAATCTGGTCTTTATCAGAGTCACTCAGATCCTCATTGTTTCTGCATTCAAAAACGAACTTTAGTAACGCAGGAAATGACTGTTCTCTTGCTGCCTTATGTATCTCACCTACTGTTGTAGCAACTAATGTTGTGGCTGATTGCTGTATATCCTAGAGCCAAAGCATGTTTCCAGATAAAAATGTAAAGACTTTCACACACACACACACACACACATATATATACACATACCCACAGCACTAACACATATGTGAGTGTGGATATAACAATGCTTTAGTCCAACAGTCCATTAAAAGCCCAATGAATAGACTGTGGTATAATGTTGAGATGTCACAAACACTATGTGACATATAGCTGGAGAATAAAAATTGTGAAATTACCACATCTCTGTCTTTTCCTCTCCTCTGTCCCCATTTCTCCTCTCCTCCTCCTCCTCCTCCTCCTCCTCCCCCTCGTCCCTATAAAATTCTTTTGTGAGTTTAATGCTGTGCCATGTGACACATGATGACCTCGCAGAGCATTTTCTGCAGAGCTCTCTCTGTGTTCATTTTGCAGCGCAAACATGGTTCCATAGACCACAAGGCAGGGCCGGAGAAAATAACAACGTGAGCACTATGCTGGGATGGGAAAACAGAAATATAAACATGGCAGAGAGGGCTGCAGTGTGCTGGCAGAGGCTTTAAAGACAGGGGACAAGCAGTGAGCTGAACACACTACAGCAACCACAAGCTTTCTTGTACAAAGTCTCCTCCCAGCTCCTGTAACCCTTGTTCTCTGTCTGTGTGAGATTCGGTAGAATATTGCCATCTTGCACAAGGTACTTCCTCCTTGGTCTTGAAAGTTTTTTTTTTTCTTTCACCCAGAAGCAACTTGTTAGCAGTGCAAAAATAAACACTGCAGTGTGCAAAGACCAATGAAAAACAGATTAAACTTTTGAGTACATTTCCTTGCTTACACAAGTGTATTAACCAATTCCAGCATCATGTAACTGATACAACCAGCTAAAATGTTTTGCATTACCGCGATCACATTTGAAATTCACCTACAACACTAATTCAGTCACTGAATGAAGTAGCTGAACACATGTGCGTGCCATATGAACTACATGTGGGCAGCATGGGTAGCAAGTGCGCCATGGGCAAACTGTTAGGGCTAAATGTGGACTGTGCACTACACAAGACCCATATGTGTTCAGTAACATGGGTCCCACATGGGAAGTCCATGTCGGTTGACTGTAGGGCCTCCACTGGGTTTCATGTGGGGAAAGTGAAAGCTTTCAAAAGGGTCCCCTTTCATAGTCATTGCTTTAAAGTGGATGACAGCTCGTGTAACAGCAATTTGGAAACTGTTTTTGTCACTGGTGAATTTATTCAGGTTATTAAATGAGGCCAATTTCTCAAAGCCACACATAAGGTACGTTACAGCAATAAAGATCTAGAGGGAAACCCTGCACAGTCATCAGTCACTTGAACAGCTTGAAACAGTGGGGTGACTGTTAATGCCGAATTTCTTTGTTGTGGATGTAATATATTGTTTTTTGTGATGTTCTCTTGTTTTTTCTTGTTTAAGGGTAATTCTGGATTATCAGTGGTTGCCCCTTTGCCAGATGGTTGCAGTTCGTGTCCCAGTGAGGACACCCGGGATCTTTCTTCTCTCCGGGTTCTCCAGCTACCTCCCACACAGTCCAAAAACATGTTGAGGTTAATTAGTGATTCCAAATTGTCCGTAGGTGTGAATGTGAGTGTGCTTGTTTGTCTCTCTGTGTAGCCCCGCGATAGCCTGTCCCCTGCCTTCACTCTAAGTCAGCGGGGATAGGCTCCAGCGACCCTAGTGAGGATTAAGCATAGATGCATAGATAATCGATGGATGGATGGATGCTGGCTTGTTTACATGTATGAGGCTAATGTTTGCTACAGCAACACACTGAAAGCTTTTCTCTGCCACACACATTAAATAAACCAGCATGTGTGGATGAATTTGCCGGTTAGATGATTAGGTCAGTTGGCAAGTTTCCATCCATGTTGGCTGTCCCAGGTGGTTAATTTATGTGTTTAGTTTTCGTCAGACTGGGGGGGGGACTTTTTTGAAATGATTTGTGTAGAGATGATTTTTTTTGCTCCAGTAGCTGTACGTTGTTTTGTAAAACTACTTGTTCCCCTAAATCTCTACAACATAAGTGGAGAGTGCAAAGTTAGTACGACCCATAGAGCCAGAATAAATACATTCATTAGAAATATGACATGTTGGAATAAATCAGAATTATCCCTTAAAGGCCCCAATTTTATCCATCCAGGTGTTTTTACTT